TTATTTTTGTTTCATTGTTTTGCGTGTTTTCTTATATGAAATGTAATTAAAAAATTTGTCATATTTTAATCACCAAAACATAACTGAATAGGTATAAAAGAGAACTCGATATATACTTTCCTTGTTTTTAAGAATTCCGGAATTAGATACCCGAGGGAGCAAAGAGGGAGCAAGTTGCCACGCTGATTTAATACCTCATAGTTGAAAGGTGGGCTACTAGAACCAAAAATTGCTGTGTTTGTAAATAAATAAGTGATTTGAGGGCAAAAAATGCCCAGATTTAAACTTCTAAAATTATTTTGAACATAAAATATTTCAGTTTGAGGGATGTTAAGGCCTCTAAGGGTAGGTACTTTTTAGGTATCAAATAAGTTCCTCTGTGAAAGTTCCGTCGTGAAAACGGCCAACGTGATGTAAATACTAACGGCAGCATTCCGCGTCGCTATTTTTAAACTTCAAGAACTTGGGTCCGAAATTTTAACATCATGTGCGGAAAATAGGTATTTATTTTTTTATGAATTCGTCCACTGCTGTAGGCCTTTTGAACGGCAGGATTCACAAGGACAGAGCCCCTGCTAAGCAGAGTATGGGCGGGAGCCGGCCGCACACAGTTCCGGCCCGAGCCGCGCAGTCAGTGTGTGTGTCGCCGCGGGTTTGTGTAACATGCTACTTTTGTCCGTGAATGGTACTGGCCGCGCGCCGCGCACTGCCCGTCGGTCGTCTCACGCGCCCATCACGGTCGTCAAGTTAGATGTAAGTGAATCCTAATCTATAATCTAAGATTCGGAATCAGGTGAGCCCCTACGATTTGGACCAAACTTGGTCAGTGGATAGTACGTAACGTCCTGATTACGATGCACCCAAAATCTAAGCTCGGCCCGCCATATTTACGAAGTTACGGATGTTTGAATTTCAAGGTCATTCGGGAGAGCCCCTACGATTTCCGTCAAAATTTGTGTACGGACACTCTTGATGCTCCTCATTACGAATATCACAAAATTTAAGCTCGGCCCGCCATATTTACGAAGTTACAGAGGTTTGAATTTCAAGGTCATTTGGGTGAGCCCCTGCGATTTCCGTCAAAATTGGTATACGGACATATTACATCCTCCTCATTACAAATATCATAAAAGTTAAGCTCGGCCCGCCATATTTTTCAAGTTACGGAGTCACAAAGTTACGGAATTTCAAGGTCATTCGGAGAGCCCCTCCGATTTTCGTCAAAATTTGTATGCGGACACATTACATGCTCCTCATTACGAATATCGTAAAAGCTAAGCTCGGCCCGCACTATTTCAAAAGTTACTGACGTTTGAATTTCAGTGAGTTTCAAACGTCAGTAACTTTTGAAATAGTGCGGGCCGAGCTTAGCTTTTACGATATTCGTAATGAGGAGCATGTAATGTGTCCGCATACAAATTTTGACGAAAATCGGAGGGGCTCTCCGAATGACCTTGAAATTCCGTAACTTTGTGACTCCGTAACTTGAAAAATATGGCGGGCCGAGCTTAACTTTTATGATATTTGTAATGAGGAGGATGTAATATGTCCGTATACCAATTTTGACGGAAATCGCAGGGGCTCACCCAAATGACCTTGAAATTCAAACCTCTGTAACTTCGTAAATATGGCGGGCCGAGCTTAAATTTTGTGATATTCGTAATGAGGAGCATCAAGAGTGTCCGTACACAAATTTTGACGGAAATCGTAGGGGCTCTCCCGAATGACCTTGAAATTCAAACATCCGTAACTTCGTAAATATGGCGGGCCGAGCTTAGATTTTGGGTGCATCGTAATCAGGACGTTACGTACTATCCACTGACCAAATTTGGTCCAAATCGTAGGGGCTCACCTGATTCCGAATCTTAGATTATAGATTAGGATTCACTTACATCTAACTTGACGACCGTGCGCCCATCAGTCCTTGTTGCTCGGTGCCGCCCGTGAACCGCCGCCGCCGCGCCGTCCGAGCTGCTGCGCTCTGGTGGCCGCTGAAGTGACCGCTGTCAGTCCGTGTCGCGTTATCGTACCGCTCCGCACAGCGCGGCCGCCACAGTCGAAGCCAGCGCCCACTAGGCCCATGTCGTCCCCTATCTCCCTGTGTGTCCAAGTGCACAGATGACGTCATACGAAGGGGCGGAGTCGGGGGCGGAGCCTGACGCAACGGCCGCCATATTTGAATTTGTTTTATTAGAATGTGGGGCGTTCCACGACAAATCCACAAATAAAAAGTTAAATTTGCACCCTCATATTTTATTCTTCGCTGAAAACTGGTGTAAGGGGTTGTGATGGGCGGGGAAGCCAGCTGTGGCAAGGATTTTTTTCTTCGAACAACGGTTTCCGAGATATAGCCTCAGGCAATTCCTGGAGTTCGCGCTGCAGCCCTATGTTTGGCGGCCCATAACTCAGAAACTATTGGTATTTTACGATAAAAACTTTATATGGTTCAACACACAATCAACCAACAAACATTTTGGCTATCTCGGATTTTCAATTTTTGAATATTTTGATCACGTGACCTTTTGTCCTATTTTTCGAAGAGTGACCTTGATATTTTCCCCACTGAAAGTTGCAATTTTGTCTGATGACGATTAAAGCCTTATCAATTGTCATTCATATGCGTTATTGAAAAAAGTGGTTATCGCCCTGCGTTGACCTCAGGTCAGGTCATTTTTATGACATGTCCATTATTACGAGCGGGAGCGACAGCGAGATCTCGAGAATAAAGCAAGATAGCGACAAGCGGTAAACGGTAAAGGGTACACACGGATAAGGTCTATAATTTTTACTGGGGTCATTTTCAGGTCAGGTCAAAGATGACGTCACAGGAGCTAAAAGGAAGTCAAAATAGCGGCACTATACATATATATGAAGTTTTTCTCGAATAACTTTCAAGGCATCCCAGCTAGGAACAAACTAATAGCACCATCGTGATCCTCTCGTCGATCCGCATCGAAACATATGCATGTTGACCTCGAAAGGTCGAAAGGTCAAAAGTTGACCTCAGGTCACGTGATCTAAGGTCAACTTTTGACCTTTCGACCTTTCGAGGTCAACATACATATGCTTCGATGCGGATCGACGAGAGGATCACGATGGTGCTATTAGTTTGTTCCTAGCTGGGATGCCTTGAAAGTTATTCGAGAAAAACTTCATATATATATATGTATAGTGCCGCTATTTTGACTTCCTTTTAGCTTCTGTGACGTCATCTTTGACCTGACCTGAAAATGACCCCAGTGAAAATTATAGACCTTATCCGTGTGTACCCTTTACCGTTTACCGCTTGTCGCTATCTTGCTTTATTCTCGAGATCTCGCTGTCGCTCCCGCTCGTAATAATGGACATGTCATAAAAATGACCTGACCTGAGGTCAACGCAGGGCGATAACCACTTTTTTCATTAACGCATATGAATGACAATTGATAAGGCTTTAATCGTCATCAGACAAAATTGCAACTTTCAGTGGGGAAATTATCAAGGTGACTCTTCGAAAAATAGGACAAAAGGTCACCTGATCAAAATTTTCAAAAATTGAAAATCCGAGATAGCCAAAATGTTTGTTGGTTGATTGTGTGTTGAACCATATAAAGTTTTTATCGTAAAAAACAATAGTTTCTGAGTTATAGGCCGCCAAACATAGGGCCGCAGCGCGAACTCCAGGAATTGCCCGAGGCTATATCTCGGAAACCGTTGTTCGAAGAAAAAAATCCTTGCCACAGCTGGCTTCCCCGCCCATCACAACCCATTAGACCAATTTTAAGCAAAAAATAAAATATGAGGGTGCAGGGCACTTGTCGATTTGTCGTGGAACGCCCCATGTGTTCTATATTTTGGGTTTCAGTCAATTGTTATCGATAGTTTTATGGACGGTTAGCTGTAATGTAAGTGATTTATCAAGAAAAGGAAAAACACATTCTGCTAGCAAGTTCGATTTAAGTACTACCCGCGCCTAGATTCGAACGCACGATCTTTGGATTACGGCGCAAGCATCCTTACCACCAGAGGTGAAAAAAAAACTGCTACTCGCCTGCGTGCGTAGGCGACAGCCATAGGAATAAACAGACAGATTCGAGCATCTCAGTTGATGCATTTAAAGTAGATAACTAGGCCGTTTCCGCTACAATCAGAGTTGTCTTCCCATAGAAGACCACTATGGACCACGGCACAAAAATTTAACAGCGTCATCTCTTTGTAGACAGCTGGGGCTGAAAAATCCCGCCGGTGCGACAGCCGGTGCGTTGTGAAGCGCCATAGACAACGCAGGAAAAACGGCGACAGCGCGACAGCTCGTCCCCGCTCGTCGCCGGTTGAGCGGTGGCGGGGACCGGCGCGGCCTTGGCCGCCGACGGAGTAGGGCAGGGGGGGTTCATCGCCATAGGGACACACGTACAAAGAAATTGCTACCAAATGCTGCCAATGTGACGTCGCTGGGATGCTCGAAAGCTGATTGGTCGCTGAGATTCGAGTAATGTAGTCAATTCTGGCGCACCGGCGCAGTGTTTTCCGACCGTTGCGTGTTATTACTTTGGTTGTTATGCAAAGTTTCAATATGTTTGTTTGATAATATAAACACGTTTTCATGTGTTTGAAGGTCGCAAAAGCTTAACATAAGTGGCAACCACACTTTGTATTACGTTTCGTCTCATATATCATGAAGAACAACCAAGTATTTCAGGCTTGCTGAGCAACCTCAACCAAGGTATTCATTATGCAATGGATCTTAACATAATCTGGCGTTTTTTTTTTTAAGTTTCCATTTTTGCAATTAAGCTGGTAATAATTTTTCAGTGCTCGCAGTGCGCATAAATACCTTGACCTAACATAATACACTCAAATAAAATGGTTACAGCAAACACGCAATGTAAACAAACTAGTGCTACAGCCTATAGTGGCAAATTGAAATATAAATAAGCTCTTTACTTTTTAGCATCATAATTTAAGTTGTACATAATATGGTCACATACTGCGGGATGGGTTCATCTCAATCTCTTCGCAATGTTATCAGAGCTGTAAAAATGAAAACAATGATTTTGCATGGTATTATTGTTTATTTTCAAATTGGTCACTGAAGTTATTTCATGGGTAGGTGCTTAATCTTTTTCAATATTTATTTATTAATTGCTTTTACTGTCAGCATGATGTTAGCCAAATTTGTTTGTGCTGATTATTGTTTATTTTCAAATTGGTTACTGAAGTTATTTCATGGGTAGTTGCTTAATCTTTTTCAATATGTATTTATTAGTTGCTCTTACTGTCAGCATGATGTTAGCCAATTTTTTTTTGTGCTGAGAGTTTTCTGTTTGCAGGAAAACTGAGGTGAGGGCGAGTAGGTCCCTGAGGAGAACCACTGCAAAGGCGGTCAAGGAGATTCTGGGAGCATCCTGCGAGCAACCTCTAGACCAGCCAGCAGGCACCTCTGACAAGTAAGGCTTATGGTTATGTGTTCACTCACATTAAAAGTGTTCACAAATATCCATCAGTGTTAAAAATCCTGGCCCGTCTTGGGCGCCACCATCATTTTTATTCCCATTGTTAAAATGCATCAAAACATTCTTTTTGCCATGAGTAATGGTAACTTTTTTGTCGGGGTAAGGCTTAGGCCACTCAATCCAATAAGGTGATGTCTTAAGTCAAGTCACATCCACTAAATGTTCTGATAATGACCTATGCTGGTCCTAACTAGTGCTTAGAAAAATGCTAAGTTGTGTTTCAGTCTTGGTTGGTGTTTGAACATTTTTATACGTAGTGCTTTTTTTCTGAACAAGTGCCATGCTAATCACGAGCGAATTCGAGGGGCAGTCGCCAAACATGTCTTCCTCTTCAATAGTAACGGGATAATCGAATTAATGCAAAGCCAAAGGGCATGAATTTTTCGTTGTCCGTGAAATCTTTCAATTTCAATGCGAAGACTAGGTTTATTTAAGTGTTATCGTTTTTTTTTTTTGCACAATATTAAATTGTCAATGTCTTTCAAGTGATGTAGCGTAATACTGGTTTCACAGTGCCGCTGCCGGTGTCGACGCTGGCAGCCATGGCCGGCGCCGAGCTGACGAGTTCCAACCTGGAAGATCAGCGCGAGGGCCGGCATTTGTTGCCGGCTTCGTGGCATACAAGTGTCACCACAACGACGCCACCATCGCACGATGGGCGGGCGGCCGCATTTAGCGCGACAAAAATACAGTTTCATGTGTCGGAGCCTCTGGGTGCTTGTGAGTGAATAATGTTAAGGTGAAAAGTCTTTGGATGCTGTTTAACATGTTTTTGGGACACTGAAGTACATTTATTTTATGCTTACCATAGCAGCCCCGTGGTGCAATATTTAATAAAAATACTATGAAGTTGCCAAAACACATACTATACATTATCAACCGTGCAGGAATGAAATGAGAAATGTTTAAAGCGTTATTGCTTTAACCTTCGCCCGTATTGGTGTTTTGACAGCCGCGAACGTACCTATAGGGGGGGGGGGGTCCTTGCTTGGAACGTAGGTATAGGTTGGAAGTTGCCCTTGTCGTTTCGCCCCTGATCGAGCTAGAGCTTAACGGACAAAAAACGAGCGTGTTGTTCGTGACGAGAGGAAGTCGATGATACCAATTTTAAGGTCCTAGGTCATCGGTTGACCTTCCAGATCAGGTCAATGACCTAAAAGTCGGGAAAACCGGGACCTGTTAGAACGTCGTTAAGGGTGGCTGCTATCGTTTTTCGGGGTGCTGATTACGAATATCATGTTATGTATGATCATAGATGATGTCTTTATGCATTTAGGCCAGCTCGGGTCAGGTCAGGTCAGGTCAACCAGTGAGGCTTTTGCTGGGTATGCGTAGTAGGTGGCAACCGCCTCAAACGGCTTCGTAACATGTTACAAAGGCACCAAAACTACTTAGTAAATGTTCAAATGGTTGTTAAATTCGATATCAGCTCAAAAAACTAGTTTACAAACATGTAAAACTCGAAAAAATGAACTGAGGTCATCAAAGGTAAATGACCTGACCTGACCTTCCGGTGACTTTGACACCCACCCTAATGCATGGGACCAACATCAATCACATGTTTGAATGCCTGAAACCACGAAAAGACTGGAAACGCTCGGCTAATGCGAGCCGACATGCGCCGAATCGCGATTCCGGCCAAACATGGTCTCGAAAAGTAGGTCACAGGTCAAAGGTCGTTAGGGTCAGGGTCATGAAATTTCAAGGGTGGGTTTAAATTGATTAACGTGAGGGTACTAAAAGTTTCGTAGCGGCCGCTTTTACGCGAGTTATCCGTGAAAAAACAAGGCGGGGGGGGGGGGTCCGTTCGACCCCCGCCCCTATACGGGCGAGGGTTGAAGGACATGTTAAGTCAGTCCGTACCAATCTAGTTGAAGAAAAGTCGATTATATTGCAACCGGTAACAACACTGTCAGCTGTGTAACGTGACATGTCAACCAACGAGCCAATCAGCGACCCGGAATAAGCCCACGTGTGAGGTCAGCGACATGCCTCATATCGCCCAGGCGCCCGGCCGCCCGCGTGCCTCGGTGCGCACGGGCATATATGTGTCGTACAAAAATTGTTATAATTCTGAAGATCGCGGGTAATAGCAGCTACATTTTATCGCAACGTGTAGATAAACACTCGTTTTAACTAAAAAACAGAACTACGTCGCGGAAATCGGCGGAAGGTTCCTCGAAAATAGAAATTGGATTTTCTGAGGCCTTGTTCGTAGCGTCTCACAAAAATGCATGTAGATATTGTGCAGAGGAGTTGTGGAAAGTAAAATACCCGTCTCTGCGTTGACTACGTCCTTGTTCATCGTAAATCTTCAGAAAATAGGCTTACCGTCGGGTAGTTTCTGTTTGATAAAGCAACGAACACAGCGCATTGAACATAGCAGATTGACCACCATGTGATGGATGGTAAACATTGTCGAAAGTTTCGCTCATTTTAGCGTTGATGGCATAATGCCAGCAAGCTTATTTGGATATTTTTGAATGCCCCAGGTATTTCTTAGTTTAAACGCATCGTTGTTGTATTTGTTGTCGGAGGTCACCAAAATGATTTTTGTCGCGCTAACTGCGGCCGCCCGCCTATTGTGCATCGGTAGTCGGGTCTCCTGACTTCTCGGGCGCCGCCGGAGACACTGAACACCCTGCCGAACAGTTGAATTGTGACGTTCAGCCGAGGCCAGCTGTTTGTTCCGTCACAAGCCTGGATGGCCGCTGTGGAGGAGTTCGAGCGGAACTTCTGCCTGCTGATGGAGGCAACTGCAGATCAGGGCGAGTCATACAGCGTCTCATGTTGCTCATCGCCGTCAAGCAGCCTCAGCTCGGCACCCGCGTGTCCAGGAAGTTGGCGAGCACCCGTCTCCACCTCCCCCTTCGGTCTCTTAGCCTGACTCTGGACGAGGTCCGGCAGCTGAAAAGAGCCGATAGAAAAGTTGGCCAAGGAGCTCTAGGTGAGCTGCTGGTAAACCGGCTCGTGTAACGACTGTGCGACTCGGCGTGGTGCTGGACTCGGTGTGGTGCGGCAGGCTCTGTGTGGGTGCTGTGCGACTCGGCATGGTGCGCCCTCCGGCTGTGTGTAACGGCTTTGCGACTCGGTGTGGTACGGCCGGCTCTGTTGGTACTTGGTGCTGTGCAACACGGCATGGTGCCTCCGGCTGTGTGTAACGGCTTTGCGACTCGGTGTGGTACGGCCGGCGCTGTTGGTGCTGTGCAACTCGGCATGGTGCCTCCGGCTGTGTGTAACGGCTATGCGATTCGGTGTGGTGCGGCCGGCTCTGTTGGTGCTGTGCAACTCGGTGTGGTGCCTCCGGCTGTGTGTAACGGCTATGCGACTCGGTGTGGCACGGCCAGATCTGTTGGTGCTGTGCAACTCGGCGTGGTGCCTCCGGCTGTGTGTAACGGCTGTGCGACTCGGTGTGGCACGGCCAGATCTGTTGGTGCTGTGTGACTCGGCATGGTGCCTCCGGCTGTGTGTAACGGCTGTGCGACTCACTGTGCGACTCGGCATTGGGTAACGGCTGTGCGTCTCGATATTGTACCACCAGCTGTGAGTAACGGCCACCCGTAAGTGAAACTTATAATATTTAGTGAAAATGTTTATTCGATTTTTTTCAGCAATGCAACTTAAGTGCATCCGTCCTGAGGGCCCTAGCAGGGCAGCGGAGCCGATGTAATTTCGGTGACTACTGACTCCTGACTTCTAGTTCCAAAAACTAATTCCGACTCCTCAGGGCTGCGGAGTCGGAGTCAGAGTCGGAGTCGGAGTCGGTCGGAGTCGACAGTTGTGACCGGAGTCGGAGTCGGAGTCGATTTTAGAAACCCGAGCCGGAGTCGGAGTCGGAGTCACCGAAAATCTGTCGACTCCGCAACCCTGCTAGGTCTGCGGAGTCGGAGTCGGGAGTTGGAGTCGGTCGGAGTCGACAATTCTGCCCGGAGTCAGAGTCGGAGTCGGAGCTGGTTTTTGAAAGCCGGAGTCGGAGTCGGAGTCACCGAAAATCCATCGACTCCGCAGCCCTGCGACTCCTACTCCGGGCAGAACTGTCTATTCTGACCGATTCCGACTCAGACTTCGCAGCCCTGCAGCTCCGCAGTCTGCGGAACCGATGAATTTTTGGTGACTTCGACTCTGACTCCGGCTCCGGCTTTCAAAAACGACTCCGACTCCGATTCCGGCTCCAGTTCGACTCCGATCAAAGTCCGGTCCCGACTCCATAACCCTGCGCCCTGGGACCCATACAAGCCTCACTGGTTTCGGCCCGCTTTTCCTGGACGTGACCTTATATCACTATTACTCACTTTAAAATGCGACATATTTTCAAGTTCTAGTGCGAAAAGTGCTCACGATAGCTTTTTGGGCGTTATAACACGAAAAAATGCCACCGGAAAGTCCGTAGTAATGCTCTATACATAGGCCGGCCGCGGCGGGAGCACCCCAGTGACGTCATCCGGGGCCGGTAGGGGGAACGTAAAAAATTCCCTAATGAACCTACCTGGTATATAGGGCCTTGGAGTAGGGTAGGACCGGGCGACTGGGACGGGGGACGTCACATCTGGGCCACAACTGGGGCGAGGTCCATGACCGTCGGTCCCAGAAACTTGGTAGGAGCGTTGATAATTGGTCTTGACTACTGAAGCAAAGACAAGTGAATCAGTGATAGCTGACAATCCTTTCGTGAGTTCTGATTGAACTGGATCAGGAAGCCAGGACGAGCTAGAAAGTTGATCAGACCTATAGGTAAGTTTAATGACAGTGATTTATTTTTTTGTTGTGTAACTACTGAAATGTGGTGATGCGTTGTAATGCCCAGAGGCTGAAATTTGAAAGATCAGTTTGTTTCTAACATTCTAGCCTAGTAGCCTCATTTTTAAATTTACTTTTTAGGCCTCAAAGGTGATGAGAAAACGGCAGAGAATGGTACCTACTGTTTCAAGATGACTTGTGAAAAATTGGCGACAGCTTGACATCGCGTAGGTGACAGCTTTTGAGTTTTATTCACCTCTGCTAACCACTACACTACCGCGGCGGCGTGGGGGCAGGCGGAAGGGAGGCTGCGGAGGCATGGGGGCTTTTTTACGCATTTTTGGAAAAACTAATGGGTTTAGTGAAAAATGCTTCTTAGGTAATTCGAAGAAAAATGTCTCGGTTTTCCGATGATGCACTTAGTTTTGTGCTAGCTTTAGCAGAGTTTGTTCTACAGCGCTACAAAAACCGCCCATTTGCATAGGACTTAAACGGGTCTTCAAGACTTTCCCCCAGATGACGTCACGAGCTGACGTCACGATCAGGTAGAATCGCCGGACGACCCTACCTGGTATATAGGGCCTTGCGCCCACTGACCGCTACAGCTCTAGACTCGTTTGATATGCTCAAATATAACGTGGCGCGACTACTTTTCGTTGGTCCTCGCGGCTGGTTGATTGTTATGACGGGCAGGCCCATGTCACTCCACTTTTGATGACGTCATAAGGGGGCCTCAGGACAATAATGGCGCGGTGCGCCACAATCGCTTCAAAGCTACTTGCCAACAGTTGCCATTTTTGAAAATATTATTTTGAAATAAAGTTACAATAAAAATATTGCAATAAAGTTGTTGATTAAATCGATACCATATCTAAAAACATAATGAAAAATGATTTATTCATAGTAA